ATACTACGTCACACACATGAAACAAATAATATCCCATAAAGGCTATAAACAATGTCCGCGATAAGACAAAATATTGTAATTCTAGTTTAAAATTCCTATATCTATGAAAGCTTTATCCAGAGCATTTGTACAACACAATAACTTTCGCTGAGTTGAGTCCCTAATAACATAAACTTTCACGTATTTGTAACGAGAAAAAATAAAATATAAATCACATACTCAGAACAAATATGGCATTTTTAGTGACCTGTTGCCGTGGCTGTAAACTCAGTTTGTCTCGGGAAACACCAAGTTTCTTGTCATTAATGAGGATTGTATTATTTCGTGGCAGTTTAAAAAAAAACTAAGCTGGCGTAACCAGTACCACAAAGTAATAACAGCTATACAACCACTCAATCAGGAGGAAGAACTAGAATCCTACCTTAAAGTCAGCTGTGTAGAAAGTTCTGATTTGGTTTTAGTTTCGGTTTATACTCTTCAGAAATAAGTGAATGTTAATGAGCCTTTACAAAAGTGTTCTGTAAATTACTACAAGTCACTCTAAGGAACTGATGAGGATTTTATAGTATATCTAAAGGAACTCCTATATATTTTAAGACCTCCAGCTCTAGAGGATTTCATCAGAACAGTGCTCGACAACTAGTCTAAAGGACATTTAAAAATTCAATCTTATAGACAGACTCTTAGACGTTTAAAAAATGTCAACATTTCTTGAATGAAACTCGTATTTCAGTTCACTCTAGAGTATTCTACAGTTTTAGTGACAGATTTTTGTATAGGACTACCTTGTTAAAACTTCCTGTAGATCAATGTGTCTTGTAGCACTATTGAAGTGGAAAATATCCTATAGTTCAATGTGTCGTACAGGTTTACTATACAGAAAACTCCTATAGTTCAATGTGTCGTACAAGATTACTGTACATAAAATTTCTATAGCTCAGTGTGTCGTCCATTATCTTTAATAGGGCCCACCACTACAAAATATAGGGCCCACCGATACAGAATCTAGGGTATATCACTACAAAATTTAGGGCCCACCAGTACATTATATAGGGTCCATCACTACGAAATATAGGACCCAACGCTGCAGAATAGTTATATATATTATAGTTATAGGATTCTTCAAGCATAATACTCCCATAAAACATACTGACCTATAGGATTTTTCAAGTATATTACTCCTATACAACACACTGACCCATAGGATTTTTCAGGTATATTAGACCTTCAAGACACATTGACCTACAGTTATTTTCTACTACGGTACCCCTATACAACACACTGAGCTATAGGATGTTTTCTGTACAGTAATCTTACTACGGCACACTGAAATATAGGAGTTTCTTGTACAGTTATCTTGTATGACACACTGAATATAGGGTTTTCTGTATAGTCATCCTGTACGACACACTGAGCTATAGGAGTTTTCTGTATAGTCATCCTGTACGACACACTGAGCTATAGGAATTTTCTGTACAGTAATCTTGTACGACACACTGAACTATAGGGGTTTTCTGTACAGTAATCTTGCACGACACACTGAACTATAGGGGTTTTCTGTACAGTAATCTTGTACGACACACTGAACTATAGGGGTTTTCTAGTTTTGTAGTTGTGGGCCTTATATTCTGTAGTGGTGGGACCTATAAGTGCATGTACCACATTTGTGAAAATCATTGCTAAAAGACATTATCATTATATAGGTAATCTACTGGATGTTTTTAATAGGATTCATATAGTGCGTTTTCATAGAGGTAAATAGTTGCAATTTTCGTTCGAACCTATTCAGACTACATATGTGTTACATCTTCATTTGAATATTTACAAAGTTAGCTATGTAACAGCGACAACATGGGAGTCTTCGCAAATTTATTATAATAATCTCATTCAATATCTAAATTGGATTAGATATATTAAAAAAGCTAAAACTATAATTTAACACAGCGAGAGAAACTATAATAATAAGGACATTTACCATTCTTAGGTTTTGTTTGCTGTTAAGCACAAAAACTACACAATGGGTCGTTTGTGCTGTGCTCATTGCGAGTATTAAAACCAGGTTTTCAGCGTTATAAGACCTCATACTTACTGCTAAACCAGGAATATTTGTTAGGAAAATTTAAAATAAAAATTACACATTTTGTTTTTTTTATATACTTTTGCAGCCGAAACAAAGATTTAAAGGGATTTAAGCACGTTCATTGGAGTTCAAGGTATTATATATATTAGGTCGTCAAGAAATTAATGTTGCTTTTTTAAATGAAAAAACCCGAACAACTTATATATCAAAAC